CTAGAGTGGTGTATCCATATGTGGTGTATCCATGTGGTGTATCCATATGTTAGTCGTATGTTATTCGTATGTATCCGTATGTTACCCGTATGTTACTCGTATGTTACCCGTATGTACTCGTGTGGTGTATCCATGTGTGGTGTATCCATGTGGTGTATCCATATGTTAGTCGTATGTTATTCGTATGTATCCGTATGTTACCCGTATGTTACCCGTATGTTACTCGTATGTTACTTGTATGTACTCGTGTGGTGTATCCATATGTGGTGTATCCATGTGGTGTATCCATATGTTAGTCGTATGTTATTCGTATGTATCCGTATGTTACTCGTATGTTACTCGTATGTTACCCGTATATACTCGTGTGGTGTTTTAGCCACCCAGTGTGCGGCAAAGTTTGGCCGATAATCCATGCCTGTCGGCGAAAGATACACTCTCGCGTTGTCAGCGTAGCACGTGTGCGGCTCAGGGCATCACAGACTTGCTATTATCTTCCTGTCCGATAACAGCAAATCAGGAAAGAGTACCGTATAACCCCAACATTAATTATGCATTCCACTTCTTTGTCTGTCATGACAGAAATTTAAAAACAAAGTCTACTAGTCTGAAGGCATAATTAATGTATGGGTTATATGGTACTCTTGCCGCAAATCCTCTCAGATATATACCGCCCATCCGTGGAAATATTAGCTGTGGCACTGATGTAGTAGGTGTAGTTAAAAGACGTTGGTTGCTTTAGTTATTAACTTTATTATCTAAGGATTCCGCTGACCACTAGTTTCCCCGCGGTAAATCGTCTCCCCGAGTTCGAGCACATGGCCAGCGAGGGTGACCACATTATAACGGAGAGTGGCTGAGCAAATGAGCTAGAGAACCAGTCGCCTTCGGTGGTTTTTGCAGAAGTATAGACAAATATCTCACGTAACAACTGCTGTTCAATCGACAACGACTAAACACTGAATTCTGAGTAAGCCAAGTCGATTGCAAAGAGAGAAGGCTGGTGATAGAAGTAACAGCCGTTTGGAAACCAAAGAGCACTGTTAAGTTTAAGTCGATGGAAAGGACAGAGAATAAGCCTGTGACTGAACATGGCAATGAAGTTTCAGAAAGTGACAGGTAGGTTTGGTCTTTTCGCTTTGTGACCGTTTCGCCTGGAGACATTTCGCCGGGAATCGATTAGAAGTCAATTCCATCAAAAACAAGCCTCCCTTGGCCTGCTGGTCGCGTCAGTTTATTTATCGGCAGTTTTTCGAGTTCGTAGTCGTGGCTGGCTGTCCATTGTAGTGCACAGGTTTAACATATTAAATCGATACATTGTAATCGATTGAAATCGATATCCATGTAAGTTGATTGAATCGACAAAAATCATTCGGGTAATATCTCAAACCTTACGGAAATCAATCTGTTAAAAGACTGCAATCACAGGTGATCAATTGCAATTGAAAACTACCACTGTGACAATTACTACAGATAACTAAAAACTTTCATATCATCCAACATTTATCAACTCTCCAGTACTAAATGTAAAGTGATTCGGCAGAACTCTGGAAATTTTGCTTGAATCAAAGCTCTTTTTTCTTTTCTTTATTTATTATAATTTTTTTTAGCTCAGTGCCTAAGGAAGATGCATCCAGAAATGACATAAAGCTGAAAGATCTTGATTCTTGGAATCCAATGCTAGATGATTATGAATCTAAAGTATTCAACAGCTACAAAGAACCAAGCATGACAGATTTTGCAGATGCTTTTCCAAGGTTGGTGACTGTGACTACCTTCACAGAGCACAAGTTTTAAAGTGCATTTTATTCTGACCTGGCATCACTGGGAAGTATTTTTCTGCTGGCCAAGGTTTTAAGATCACTTTTTCTTATGCAGTGGAAATAAACAATTGACATTCCTTATAATTTCTTTAAAACAGTCTTGAACATTTAAATAAGCCATATTTTCAATAACCTAAACTATAACTAAATTTATCAACAAGATTGGTTTTCACCTGTCTGATTTGAAAATCTAAGGATGGTACTTGCTAATAAGAATCTAGTTTTGCACAGCCAATGACTATGCACGCTAAAAAGAAATTTTCAAGGACTATCAAAATCAAATTTAAAAAATTGGGGTTAGCTATGCAATATTCCGAGATAATTGGGGTTGAAATCTGAAAAAAGTGCTGATCTTGCATTTTTTAAAAAGTGAAGGAAAATGAAATATCCCTGTCAATTCCATTTGAATTCAAATTTTTTTAAACAAAGTCAATAGTACATGTAAAAATATTTAAGATAACAAGCAAATAGGATCCTCAGAACAAGGTAATGTAAGTGTTTGGGATCAAAATGACTGCACTGATCGCTCTCTTTTGAGCAACCAAAAATACTGACAAAACAGTTCGTGCACTGAATGAAAAATTAACTGTGTTTTATAGACTTTTTCTTTTTGTTTAGTTTCCTAAACAGCTCAGGTTGCTTGTGGCAACAGCAGGCACTGTCCTTAAGGACAGTATATGCATTTTGATTTTAATTAGGCAGTGTACAGAAAGAAAGAGAAAGAAGTCTTAAGCACTCTAAACAACAAACGTGCCTAGTTACATTGATTAGGTTGAGATCAGACGTCAGCATTATCAGGTGCCTCTGGCAGCCACTTCAGTCCATCTAATGATCTTACCTTCCCACCCAGTCCACCCCAGGGGAGGACATCCACCACACAGTAATCTTGTGCGTGGGAAATTCACATCTGCAGGAGACGGGGCCTGCAGGAAACCCTGCAGGAGACGGGGCCTTCAGTTTATTCGTCCTAATCTGAGAAGACTAGAATATCTATCCATTTCTTGATATTATAGAAAGGTAGTAAATTCTCCTCAGTTATTTTAAGACCATGAGTATTGGTCTGGCTGGGGCACGAACCCTCGACCTCCCGCACAGCATAATCCGGCGCTCTAACCAATTGAGCTAACTGGGAGGTGGTATGTGTCATGCTTGTGTAATTGGACTGTAGGCATCAAACTGTTGTCACTCATTTTGCTAATTAAACTGTCTTCTTCTTATAAAATGTACAGGAGATGGTTAGTTAACGTTACCACTCAAAGTAATTTGACAGTCCATTTTTCAATCCTTGATCCAGGATTCTTGAAAACTTCTGAGGACTTATGCTCCAATTGAGTTTCAAAATGTTGAGTAGAGTTTCTAACGGTTTGAGATGTGGAAGTTTTTTAATGTGTCTTGGTAATTAGCCTCAGAGGCCACCTTTTTTCTTGTTTTTGTGGTTATTTCACAGTAGATATGGCAGGATTTAAATTGTGTTACAATGCTCATGTAAGACGTGATTTAAAAAAAAGGGGGAATATTCTCTAGTTTCTTCCTTTAGTTAGTAATGAGGTTTCCCTAAATAGAAAACTTGGTGTTAAATTAGTTTTTGCACACAGTGTTATGGCTCCATTTCAGTAAAGCAAAATATGTAATCTCTTATATTTCCAGCTTGAATGGGAATTCAGGTGACTTACAGCATCAGCACAGGAAGTCATCCCTGGAAATAAATGAAAAAGATACCTGCCTATTTGTAGGCAATATTCCACAGAAAATGACTCAGGTATGAAATATGTCTTGATTGTTTCAAGGGTTTAACTTTGTTTACTTACAATTCCAATGCAACAAATGGCATTTTGAGCTTCCAATGGAATTCAAGTGAAGAAATGTGAAAAACCCAATAACTTCCTTGCTTCCAATGTGTTGTTTCATTGCTCAGTTGTCTGTAACCTTCAATATCTGGTAGACACAAGTTAGAACTTCAGCAAAGCTTTAATTTTTTAAGGCCTCTTTTCTGTAATTTCTTAAATTTCAACTCAATTGCAAGGATCATTTCTTCACTTGGATACTTGTTTGTCCTTGACTGAGGCAACATTTTATCAATCTAGATAGCTAGGCAGTATTTTAGGCTCAAACTTATAAACAGGGCTAAATAAACCAGTGCCACGTAATGTTAAAAAACACAGTGCTCTCCAGACAGCATTACAGCTTACTACGGTGACATTACTGGGATGTCTATGATCATGCATGGGCAAGGGATCAATTTTGCAAAACTACATTAGTGGAAGAAATGAAAGGGAAAAAAATAGGGACTAGAGAGATGCTGGCTTGTTTAGTTGTTTAAAATTCCTAGCAGACTGTTAGGTTTTGAGAGCCTGAGGGCATTCTACATGCATAGATGTTTGTCTGCCATCATAGTTAGTATGTTTGTTAGTTAGCTAGTATCATAGTTAACTTAAGGCCATCTAAGGTTGGAAAGCATAAAAATAAAGACATGTTCACCTACAGCAAGGTGCAACATTGTCGATTCAGAAATAATTTGTGCTGCATAAGTCACATATGTCATAACATACCTGAGCATCTTGTGCTATTAATACAATTTTCTAGATGGCCACTGTAATCCTTTGTAAAACCCATAAGTGGCCCCATCCTCATCCTAGAGACATTTTAATCTTAAAGTAAATTTAAAGCAGATCTAATTAAGGACCCTAGATTACTCATTAAAAAACAAACTAACATCCAAAAGTACATGTACCGGTAATTTTCATGTATTTAATAACAAAAATCCTTACTTATTCCGGTAATGGTTCTCTGCGCAGATGGACCAACTAGATGGACCTCTTCTAGTTAATGATAAAAGTAAAGGCCTACAACAGAAACTGCTATCATGGCTCTTCAAGAATGTTTCTTTTGTTTTATAACATGCAGGAAGGCTTGCAGAACCTCTTCCAACAGGCTGGCCAATTAAGATCTTGTAAATTGATTCCTCAGCACAACAAAAGTACTAAGATTGGGTAATACATGCACATCTAGCATTCATTTTTCTTTTTTATCTTTTGTGTCCAACTGGATGTTTTTCTCATGTGAATCGAGTTTTACAGGTTACATTGTTTCCATAAGCAAGGTACTTTTACAATTCTCATAATAGGGCTGTTAACACAAGGTCAAAATTGAGTTTGACTAGTAAACAGTGCTTTTTGCTCCTGCTGATTGGCCAGCCTAGTGGTAATTAGCAGGGTACTATTTACCTCCCAGCAGCTGAAGAGCAACTAAATGGCTTCTGCTTTGTTATGGTTGCTAAAGAGGAAATTACTTTCATTTGGTGAACAGGGCAAGTGTTTATAAAAGGCAAATTAATAAAGGAGAGTAAGTTTCTAAAGAGACTGTGGTGCTGCAAAAAGGCTAACACTCAAAAGATCAGGTTTTTTTAATGCTCTTCAAGGGTCTAAAATTGGGCCTTTGTGAGTGATTTACTGCAGCAAAGTCCTATAAAAGTGTGGGTAAGAGGTCTGCCATTTGAAAACAAGAAAGCAAGAGGAGAGTTTTAAAGTCAGTTTCTTTCGACTGAAGCTAGATTTTGTGAGACAAAATTTGTTTACATTAACATTTCCTAAAACAGTTTCCTATATGTACAGTCAGTATTTTCGACGCGTGGCATTAACACACTCACATTAATTATATATTGTATACCATTATATTTGGAATGAATTTAAGAAGAAGTCAAGTGAAACTTCATGCTGTTTTCATTTCAGATTTGTAAGCTTCAATACTGTACGTGAGGCAGTGGCAGCGATACAAATGTTTGACGGACTTGATTTGGGGCATGGTAACCGTCTGAAGGTTGCACTCGCATTGTCAAAGCAGAAACCCGCCTTCACAGACACCATGATGAGAATGGGTGATGGTGTGAGTAAGAAAGTAGAAGTGCTTACTGATGACGAAGTAGTTTCCAGGTAAAAGCAAAATCTTGCTCACAAGTTTAGAGCTTGAACTAATTGCTGAGGACTTAAGAAAAGAGGCTTTAAGCCCTGTATCGATTGAATTTTGAAGCACACAGTAAATTTCCAGAGTACAGAAGAAGTACAGGAGTTAATTTTAAGAAAAACTCCATCCTCTGGAATGAAGTGAAAGTTTGGTTGTAGGTATCTCTAGCAGACATTTATTGGCTATCGAAAACGATCCTTTTAGGCAAAGCCTAACGCTTACCATTGGTGGAAAGTTGTTGCCTGTTTTCTAGCAGTTTGCCATTTGTTTGTTGAAAATAAGGCTATTGCCCATGGTTTAGGTATTTTTCCTTTCATTAGGTCTGCCTTTTTTTCAGTGTGGCAATGTGTAATTTTATCTTTGTTCCTTCTGTTATTTGAGTAGTTTATGACACTGTTTATGTCATACCAACCACATATCCACATCGTCTGATGTCTTTTTTGTTGCTTTATAACAGTGAACATGAAGGTACTCTAGATGCCGTATCAAGTGTTCTTCCTGATTCCAAGCTAACATCCGAAGGTAATATGAGGCCTTTTTCATTTAGATAACTGATAAATTAGAAACAAAGAATTCATAGCTAGATTGAGGTTAGAGCAGCTGAAATTGTACTTGAAGTGTCTTGGGCCATTGCAATACACGAGTATCACTTTACCAATGGACATGTCAAATTACTTGCTTGGTTTCTGACAAAGTTTGACCCAACCTTAGACTAGTGAAGCACGATTTAAGCAAAAACTTTGCCCTAAACCCCTTACAAAACCAGACTATTGACATGGCAGTGATTGATATCGTATTTCTCTCCTGCTCTCCTAAAGGAAGTCCATGTAGCTTTTGTGGCCAGTTAGGACATAAGTGGTGCTCAGCATGCAAAATTCCGTATTGTAGTCGAGACTGTCAGAGAAATGACTGGCCGAAGCACAAACACGCTTGCTGCCAACAAACTCGGTCAGAGAGAAAAAGAGCCACCCTTGCAGACACTTCGGAAACGTGCCTGGAAACTGCTTCTGCCTTGACCAGCGCGGCAAATTCTGCGCAACAAGCTAGTCCAACCTACCCATGTGCTCCTTGTGACGACTCCACATATTCAAGTAAGGAACCAACTATCTCTGCGACACCCGCGAATTCCGACAAGAATGATGACAAGATCTCTAACAAAGCAAATCAGGAGAGTTTGAGGGTAGCAGACAGTGATGCGTTTGATGTACAGAATGCTGAAATGTTTGCCCAGATGATGGGTTTTGACCCAAATCCGGTGACGACGGTGGAAAATAGTGACGACAGCGACAGCGCTGATACCTCAACATCTCCATCCCTAATGAGCAACATGATTCACAGAGACTCAAGTCCTCAGGTACCACATACCGAAACGGGTCTGCTGAAGTCAAGCTTAGAGAGCCAAGTGAACCGATCAAATTTAAAAAGCAGTTTAGCACTAGAATCAGTAAGTACTTCAGATGAGGCCGTTACAGAGTCGGAAACGTCCACCTCAGAGCTTTCATCCTGTACAAAGGGTCCCACACGAATCCCTGAGCAGCTCCAGACGGAGAAAATTCCAACAGAAGATTTTGAAGTTATTGTTACAGAAGTTGAAAACCCAAGCTGCTTATGGGTTCATTCGTGTGCCTCCGACGCCTTAGAGAGACGAAACCAACTCCAGAGCATTCTCCAAGCGACCTACCGTGATTCTGTGTTTGAAAAATATGTGCCAAGTGTTGGTGATGTATGTGTTGCCCAATTTAGCTTTGACAATTGCTGGTATCGAGTGAAAGTTGATTTGGTTATCAATGCAGGAATCATGAGAGTCACATACATAGATTTCGGAAATCAGGAGGACATCGCAGTGTACAAAATACGTCGTATAACAGAGGACCTACTAAGTCTTCCCAGACAAGCTGTCAAGATCTCCCTGTATGGAATTACGAGTACCTCTCCATCAGGGGATTGGTCTTCAGAATCAACAATTTTCCTAAAGAGTGAAATTTTAGCCAAAAGGTGCAAAGTTCGGGTCTGTGAACAAGCTAATGAAACATTACTTGTGGAATTATCAGCTGCTCATGGAACACGCGTTGGTGAAACAGTCAATGAAACTCTAATAAAATCTGGCTTTGCTGAAATTAAGAGTCCAAGAGATCAAGCTGACAGATCACATGGACTAGACGATTTGTGCGAGGAGCAAATAGGCAGCCCTGACAAGTCATCTTATTTTGGCGACATTTCTTCAAAGAGGCCGTTGAAAACTCCTTCAAATGAGGAAGGAAGGAACCCTCCGAGACTTCACAGTCAATCGAAGAGAGGTAAAGTACCATTTGAAATTGTCGTCAACGCCATTGTGAATCCATGGGAATTCTACGTAATGAAGACTGAAAAACAACTGATAGTCGAGCTCAGGTCATTAATGGTTAATTTAAATCATCATTTATCTGAGAATCGCTGTAGAAATGAATGTTCAACAACACTTCTTACTCCCGGTGATTTGTGCGCTGCCCAATTCTCACAGGATAAAGTTTGGTATCGTGCTGTGGTCTTGGAACGAGTTCCCAATGGCTACAGAGTTCGTTACGTGGACTTTGGAAACAGTGAAGTGCTGCAAAAAGAGAAGGTATGCTCCTTACCTGAAAGTTTTCAGAGACTACCCCCTCTTTCATTGACTTGTTCACTAGCAGGTGTGAAGAAACCAAAGACACGGGGTTGGACCCCGGAGGCTATACAACAATTCAAGACTTTAGTTGCTGATAGAACATTTTTGTGTAGGATTGTTTACACGCATGGAGTCACCAATATTGTTGAACTACTTGATCCAAATCGAGGTGAAGAAGAGTCAATAGCCAACTCACTTATAGGGGCAGGTACATGTCAGTGAATTACAATTGTTTTGTTTACTTTAAAACGCCTTCATTTGGTGCGAAAATAGGCACGGATATTTGTTCGAAGATATCTGTTCCCTAATGCGGAGTTTTCCTTGAGCTCAGCTCGAGGAAGACTATGAGTAAGGAAGAACAGATAATGTCCCAGGATTAATATACTAGCATATCTTCGTGCCAAATGGAAGCTACTATGCTTATTAACCCTGAAATATTTTTGCTACAGATTTATGAACAAACATGGCCTTCTTCAGTAAGAACTACTGAATGCTCTCTCATTTTTGATTAATTTTAAACGAAGATTTTCATCGCAATGAACGCAAGGTTTGAAAATTGGGGAATATCACTTTGGGTATATCGCCGGATGGTCTCCCGTTTTAGCTGGGGTGTGCTCATTTAGGCTTTATATTCACTACTTCTTGAGTAGTGCTCATTACTGCGAAGATCGCTTTCATATTCATTTCTTAAACAGCATTTCATATACAGGCGTATATATATGAATTTTCATAGGACTGTTATTCATCGACTACCCCAAAACTGAATGAAAAATTTTTTTCTCTAAACGACTGTCAGGAGAAATATCTTTTCCCTGTGTAGATTGTGGACCCTTGGTTTTGCCTGAGGGTGTCCAGTTTTGCCTTCCTCAAAGCTAACCAAGGTATTTTTGCATTACTGTATTCAGGTCTAGCTGATCCATTCGCACCCAAAGATGGTCATAAAGAACAAATTGACTCAAGATGGGAGATGCCATTTATAACGCCACAGTGTTTGAGGAGTGTAGAGACATCAGTGAAGATGAGCCCATCGGATTTTGTCACAGATCGGTCTCCATCTAGCCAACCACGGCCTAAAATTAATGCCAACTGTGTAAGAAGTTCGTCGCCAAAAGGTCAAATATTAGGCACGTCTGAGAAGGAAAGAATAGAGTCGGTTGTCTTTGAACCAGCTATCCAAGCAGCGATGTTGCCTCAAGATAATGAATTTGATATTCTGGTAACGGAAGTGGTTTCTCCTGGGCTAATTTTCTTTCAGCTAGGAACGGTGGAGTCTGTACAGAGTGCTGTCAAGTTGACCGAGGATATGAATTTACATTACAAGTCAGCGACTTACCCACCTTTTGTTCCACATCAGAATAACCTATGTGCCGCATTCTTTGCTGGAAGCGGGGACTGGTGTCGAGCTTTTATCAAAGCAGTGTCTCCTGATGGGTCTGTTTCTGTGCATTATGTGGATTATGGAAACGCTGAAATACTTCCACCGAATCACCTACGGCCTCTAATTCCCCAGTTTGATTCCAGTGCCTTGCCATTTTTAGCACTAAGTTGTTCATTAGCAAATATTGTCCCTCTTGATAAGTCCGAATGGTCTGATGAAGCGGTGGCGTTCGCTAAAGCTCAAATTCCGTTATTCAGTAGATCCACAGTTCGCTTGGTCGGAAGACAGAAAGGAAGAGTATTTTTGGAGGTGAAAATAGATGATGAAAGTGTCAATGTAATGCTGGTAAATCGAGGGCTAGCAAGGGCAATGGTGAAAGGTTACAACCCTCAGCGTCTGAATTCGAATGAGCCTACACCAAACACCAGTAGATTGGTGGCAGTTGACCGCAATGCCCTTTCAAATGGATGTTATAAAGAGCTCGTTTCAAGCGCACTGGAATCCTTGGTATTCTGCCCCGCAATTCAAGCCGCAGTATTACCACAAGACAGTTCACTTTTTGATGTTATGATCACGGAGGTATCAAAGGCAGGTGTTTTCTTCATACAAGTAGGAGACTTTGATGCTGCCCTGAGCTTACAGAAGCTTTCAGAGAAGATGAATTCGTCTTATCATTCGTCACCATCAAGTTCCTTCAAACCTCAACCAAACCATTTTTGTGCTGCCAAATTTACTGAAACGGGTGACTGGTGCCGTGCATTTATCAAAGAAGTAACTCCTCAGCATTTGGTTGAAGTACATTACGTTGACTTTGGGAACGCAGAGAAACTTCCGGTGTCAAGTATCCATCCTCTGATGGATAACCTCACCACGTACCCTTTTTTCGCTTTACCCTGCTCATTAGCAAATGTGCGACGACCCAAATCTCCAGGATGGGCAGACAAGACAATGGAATTGATCAAAGAAAAAGTTCCCCTTTTTAAACGTGTTAGTGCCAGAATAATATCCAAACAACGCGGTATGCTGCTTGTCGACTTTATGGTTTCAAAGGATCAGCCCCAGTTTCTAAGTCAACTATTGCTGAACGAAGGTCTCGCTCAAAGGTCAGTGGTAAATGAAAGGCAATACGATGACGAGCAAATGGAAATTCAGGTGGAACGTTCGCAGTCACATGATTTATTGAAAGACGCACCATCTCCAAAACCATTGGGAAGCATTGAGTCCCTGGTATTTCAGCCAGCTATCCAGTCAACTATAGATTTCGATTCCTTCCATGCCATGTTAACCGAAGTTGTGTCTCCATCTTCACTTTTTATTCAGATTCTGAGCCACGAAATGGTTGAAAGTATGGAGCAGCTGTCAGCAAACCTGAACGCTCACTATAATAATACAAATTATCCTCCTTTCAAGGTTCAGGCTAACGTTTTGTGCGCTGGATTTTTCTCCGAAAGTGGAGACTGGTGTCGAGCTTTCATCAATGGTGTGAATGCAGATGGCTCAATTAACCTTCATTATTTGGATTATGGAAACAGTGAAGTCTGTTCGTCATCCCAAATAAGACCATTAGAGAAAACATTTCAGAAGCAGCCACCCATGGCTATAAAATGCTCATTACACGGTATTTGTCCTGTGCAGTCGACTGGATGGGCCGAAGATACCTGCAAAGCCTTGCTTTCCCAAGTTCCCTTATTCAGCCGCCTGGACGCGAAGGTGATAAAGAGGGAAAGTGAATCCCTGGTTATCGATGCAACATCACGACTTACCCCAGAACAAGTAACATTGAGTCAGTTTCTTGTAAACCATGGTATGGCTCGGTGGCAAGATTTCTCAAGTGCACCAAAAGATGTTCATACGTCAGAAGAACAAATGAATACAGCGGAACAGGCTTCTTTGCCGGCACAGTTTGCCTTTGAAGCTGTTAGTAGTAACAGCAATCGTTTTTTTGTGTCAAAAATCCCTCTGGTGGATATTTCACAGAGCAACTCATTCCAAGTACTTATAAGTGAGGTTCAACGACCAGACAAGATTTTCTTTCAAGTCCTCAACAAAGGAAACGCACACGCACTCGATACTCTTTCGCGAAAATTAAATACCTATTGTTCGGAGGTAGATAATAGTCCCTATAAACCAGTGCTGGGGGAGCTTTGTTGCGCTAGATTTAACCAAGACGGAGTTTGGTATCGTGCAGTTGTCGAACAAGAACTGCCAGGATCAAGAATGTCAGTGTTATTCGTGGATTATGGTAATGAAGACGCAGTCACAGTAGATTCCATAAGGCGAATTACAGCTGAATTTACACAACTTCCCTTACAAGCCAGGCAGTGTTTCTTGACAGGTATACTCCCCGTGTCGCAGTCATGGTCGTCCGATGCAGTTAACTTCCTAAGAGGGCGCCTGTCAGGTGAGACGTTTGTTGCTCAGATTGAAAACGTTTCTGGAGAAAGTGTGGGCGTTCAGCTGTTTGAACATCACCCAAGGGATCTGCCCCCTCATATGTCCGTCAATCAAGATATGGTTGAGCACAATCTTGCTCGGATTCAAGAGCAGTCGGTTTGCTTGAAGGTAAAAACTGTGTTTCCAAAAGAAGATCACTTCGATGTTGTAATTACAGAGGTAATACATCCAGGGGAGATGTGGGGACAAGTCCTCGATGCTGAGTCGCACAACAAGTTCAGTTTACTTATGGAGCAAATTAACCAATACTGTGTATCTGCTGCGCCTGTTTCTACCTTTCTTATCAATCCCACTGAGGATTGTTGTGCACTGTTCTCGCAGGATGACACATGGTACAGAGCACGCGTGTTGGAATGTCTCGAATCAGGAAAGAAATTAGTTCAGTTTGTAGACTTTGGTAATTGTGAAACGGTATCATCTGACATGGTAAGATCTCTGAAGGACGACTTTGGTGACCTCCCTGCACAGGCGTTAAAGTTAAGCCTTGCAAACATTCGTCCCATTCATCAGATTTGGAGTCAAGAAGCAGTGGATTGGCTCAAGAATACAGTAAACCGAAGGCTGAAAGTGTCAGTTGTCCATCGTTGGCCAGACCAGTTAAATGTATTCCTTGAAGACTGGAATGTTCCCGATGGTCCGCTTCGTATAGGTGAAGAACTGGTGTGTTTGAGATTTGCTGACGAATGTTGATTAGGTATCGGAAGTCGTTGAGTGGCAGGCGAGAAAAGCTTTGAGGATGTTATTTACTCTTGTAGTAGAACTTTAACTGTTATCGTTAGTTTGTCATCGTACTTTAAAGTCTTTGGTTTGCTGCTGACGTAATCTTGTCACTGGCAGCATGAAAAAATATTTGTCGCACGGGTAGATTGAAATGTTATTTCAGGTATTCGAATTAGTTACGGTTTGGTGGCGAGCGAGATCATACGAGAGCAAGAACGGATTTTGCTTTGATATCAAGACGATTGTAAAATTTTACATTTTTTGTTGATAGGAATACCCAGTTGTTTGGCTCATCATGGGTTTGCTCTTGAAGGGTTATTTTGGACTTATTAGTGAAATCAAACAATCAAGTAAAACAAAGAGTTATATTAAGAATATTATTTAGTTGTGACAATTTTGAGAGTTAACCGCAACTAGCATAGTGGGTTCATTCGATCAGCGGTCACTGTCATAGACAGTGGCTAGCGTTGAACATTGCAACTTTGTTGTAGCGAGCATCTTTGAGCTCTCCAACTTCAAAATAGTGTCTTCAAGTAATTTTAAAGAATATTCCAAGGTTGTTTCTAGAGCGTTTCATTGCGTTTTTGACGAAAATTTCAAAGGGTGGGTGTTAGATAGGTTATTTAAGCCCCTCTTTCAATAAATACATGTTTTTCTCGGAAATTGTAATGATTGTGATGCATGTATGTCTTCCAATTTGGTCAGTTTTCATACTTGTATGGTGAAAAATACAAAGGTATACTTGAACAAATTTCTTAATTTCAATTGGCTGAGAGGAATGCAGTTTTCACGTAACAGGAGGGAGATGATACGGTGCCAATGGTTTATTTAGTGCGAAAAAGGTAACGAATTGTTAAGCCGAGTTTTATTATGTTTTGCGACTTAAAAAGAATACTCAACTCCGTTGATCTGACCAAGCACACAGTGGTGTTTGCTAGGTTTGAATGGATTATTCTGGCAGATATGGTTAGCCAAATGTTGCAAAACTCAACAACTTGCATATTTTTATTCAACAAGTAATATTTATGCTCGACAAAGTATATTTTTATTCAACAGTTTACAGTTATATTCAACATTTTATATTTATGTTCAGCGACACGCATTTTCTTTTCATATTCAACCAAAATTATTTTCATTCAACAACAATATTTATTCAACTTCAATAGCTATATTTATTTATTTTACTCAACAAAATTAATTGTTCAACTGCAGTCTAAACTTTTTTACCCAACAAAAACAATTATTCAACTTCTACCATGCATAGTTATTTAATGACATACCTTCTATTATGACTAAGTGTTCGAAAGTTCCCGGACATTCAAAATATCGTCATTCAACAAAATCCCCGTCCAGTCTCCAGTTAAGTACGCTGTATTGCGGACCCAGTGCCCCGACCATTAACGCCCGTGAATAGAGATGGCGTCGGAAGACGGATCAGGGCGTGATGTTAGGGAAGAACTGACAAATTGAGAGAGAATGTGTTCGAAATGAGATCGCTCTTCAACGATCGGGAAGTAATACCTCGTTGTTAAGGAGAACGCGCGACCTTGTAGCAAGATCTGCGAGCCGAGAGATGACAAATTCTATCGCCTCGGGCATCGTTCCATCTTTTCCCGCCACAGCCACCCCGGTTCCTTCTTCTTCGTCTTCTTTTCACAAGGGAAAAAAGAGGCCCGCAGTTGCAACAAATCATCCATGGCGCCTCAAAGGTAAACAGGAGAAACAAATGAACCATAATCTTCGTATTGGAAGGAATGGGTTTCATGTTTGGGGGTAGTTCGATAAAGGTACAAAATTCCAAAAACTGTGCCACTAAACAACAACAAAACATGTATTGTAAAAATAAGTCTTGAAGAAGGAACCCGAATTCCTTCAATAAAAGGCGCTTGTGCGCCTCGTTGAGGCATTGCTTGATGCCGTCCTCGACAGTAAGCTTTCCCTCACTTATAGGTTTTGGACAAATGAATTTGTTTGTTGTCCGACTGAAGCCGCTGAAAAGAAAACTGAAAATCTTAATTCGAACAAGATTATTTTTCGAAGAATGCACGGCACAGTCGATAGCGTCTTCGCATTAAAAACGCTCACTGATAAGTCTAGGTAGACAGGTCCTGTTACCCGTGAACTGTGACCTGTGACCCGTCACCCGTGACCTGCGTTTTAGACCTGCCGCAAATTTTGGTGATTTCACGTTGTTTTGCAAAGGACGGCTAAGAAATGTACAAAGTTTTAAAAGGCACGTGCTGGGCTATCTATTGTTTTTCCACGTTCTCGTTGCCGTCGCCGTCGTGGTTTGCTTGAGGTGGCTGAACACAGTTTTTGATACCTTTGTTTCTTTCACTATTTTCTCTAAAACCCTTGATCTCTCGGTCGCCAAAACTGGCAGCAAGCAAGTTAACAACACAAACTTTGTTTTTTTGATAGTTAAGCTGACGTATGTGCCGTTGCCTTGGCGACATGAGCAGATCTAAACAGGCAATTAAAATCGGTTATGTTTCTTTGTAGACAATCTAGTCATTAGATCTTTATAATTTGCATGCAACGAGCTTGTAACGATACTCACAAGTTAACACCATTTTGCTAACAATTTAACAGAGAGATCTTTAATTATCCCTTATTAAAGGTTCACTCGATTTTCTAGAATTTCCTTTGTTAAAATAATTTTTTTTCAATACTCCAGTTGCTTATTTCCCAAAGTATTTTCGTGCCAAATTTCGTGAAGTTCTAATGAGTGGTTGTCAAGAAATAGGCATATTTCCGAGAAAGCAATTTTCCATTCAATTGCAATTTTTTTACTTACTACGCATGCGCTACATTTAACTGGGTTCTTTCGATAACGACGTAAAAGCTGAGAATTGCTGGGTTCTTTGCACCGTTAACTTTCCTAACATATCTTTGTAATAAAAGATTGAAGCCTTCAATACACTACGCCAACTATAGAGAAAAATATATCACAGTGGTACGTGTTGAGTAAATAAAATGACCGCCCTATTGTATGAAGCGTTATTGGATCAAAATTAGAAAACAGATTATGTTATGGTGTTTGATATTTCATTTGGCCGAACTGCAGAATTATTTTCCAGCGTTGCATGGAATTATGTTCCGCTCTTTTAAATCGAATAATTGTGATACGATTTTTGTTATTAAGTAGCTCTGAATAATATTCGGACGCTGCCGAATTATGTTTTGATTGTCTAAATTATGTATGATGAATATATGAAGTTCATATATTTTGAACTGCGGTTATAGATACGTATGATGCACGATCCTCGCAGTAGAGAGCGCTATTTATGCAATAGCGAAAATCAGAACTGAAATAAATCAGGCCTTTACGGGATTCGAACCACTGACCTCTGCGATACTAGTGCAGCGCTCTACCAATTGAGCTAACAAGCCAACTGGGAGCAGGCCGTTAAGTTGCAGGCCGTTAAGTCGTCACGAAGAAAAACACAAAGATTTTCTGGCACCAATCAGATGCCAGAACTACTGCGGCCGTTTGGAACTAGTCTTGTAAGACAATGTCCCCAGGGGCTCTCCTGCCCTTAACTTGAAATCGACTTCCAGTTCCTGGGTCTCCGAGGATGGGTTTATATGGAAATGGCGGAGGAAGGTAGAAAGAGGGACCATGAAGAAGCTGAAGATGGAGAGAAGGCGAACAAAAGTCAGAAGGCAATAAGGCTTCTGAGAGAAGTCACGACTTTGTTGACCGAGTCGGTTAACGATGGGGAAGCGAAGGAGTCCCGTGAAGAACTACATCGAGTGAGACAATCCTCGAACGCCAATCTAGACGACTTTCGTAACATTTTCAGCCCATACAAGATATCTCCTGCCGTCCTCACGTCCACTTTCCAACAGCCAAACCATCGGTCGTCCAAACAAAAGCAACGTGGAGTGTTCTTCCAACCCAAAGAAACTTGGAAGCACGACGAGCTTTTTTGCTTGGCTCTAAAAGGTCAGACCAGAGCTCCTTTAAGGGCTGAAAAACTCGAACTCCAAGCCACTGGTTTAGGGAGGCGGAAAGTTTGCTTTCACTCTAAGGCAAAATCTTCAGAGTCTTTAGAGAAATTGGAAGAGGAATTTCCAAAACTAATGTCAGGGGATGGCTTTGTTCTTATGAGGACCGGTCATCAAGGGAACAGCTGCCTTTCCACAATATCACCGCCAGCAACTGGTTATTCTCACTCGATGTAGTTCTTCATGGGACTCCTTCGCTTCCCCATCGTTAACCGACTCGGTCAACAAAGTCGTGACTTCTCTCAGAAGCCTTATTGCCTTCTGACTTTTGTTCGCCTTCTCTCCATCTTCAGCTTCTTCATGGTCCCTCTTTCTACCTTCCTCCGCCATTTCCATAGAAACCAAGACGTCGGACTCGGTAATTATGAATATGAATTACAAAAGGCGGGAGTTTTTCCAGTCCCAGGGTTTCTCGTTGCTTTCTTAATGCGATGCCCAGTCCATCAGCCGAACATAATTCAGAGAAGATCGAAAACATAATTTAGAAAACATAATTTAGCAGGTCATATAGAACAACAGAATGTAAAAAATTCGGCGGCAGGGAAGATAAAAGTCGAAAATGGAAAATATAATTTAGACAATAAAAAAATTATTCGGCAGCTTCCGAATATAATTGAGAGCTACGTAATAACAGAAAATGCAACGCTGGAACATAATTCTGTAGTTCGGCCGAATGTAAATATCGAAAATCAAAATTCGGCATCGTCCGAATATAATTCAGTGCTACGTAATAACAAAAATCGTATCACAATTATTCGATTTAAAAGAGCGGAACATAATTCCATGCAACGCTGAAACATAATTCTGTAGTTCGGCCAAATGAAATATCAAACACAAAATCTGTTTTCTAATTTTGACCCCAATAACGCATCGTACTATTGACGGCATGTTTGTTTTTTGCTGCAATCCCTATGCGCGCGCTGAATTGCATCGACTTGCACATGCGCAGAAGCTCACTGGCGAACTGACGCAGACTGGCGGTAAAGTTCGAAACACTGCTGGTACAATATGAGTGTCCTCAATGACTTATTCGTGCAAATTGTACAGTCCGAAGAGAGAATTCGTGAACGGTTTTCCATACTGCGGAAAGGTTAGTAGCTGATTCAGTGTAACTGAGAATAAATTTTTACTTTTACATGTGCACGAAACCAAATAAGAGGCAAATGAATAAAGGGGGTAAGTTACTAAAGAAACTGTGGTGCTGCGTCGGTAGGGATGACAAGGTAATTTGGTTATATCAACTAAGTTGAAATTGTAAATTGGCCACCGTTAAGAATTAAAAAGCTGACGTTTCGAGCGTTAGCCCTTCGTCAGAGCTCTGACGAAAGGCTAACCACGTGTTGCGATGTTTCAAGCCTTGGTAATTATTTTTCTTGATATGTGATAATTATTCCTGGCTTGCTAAGATTTTGTGTTTTGAAAAGGCTTGAATTTGCTACCTCAAAATGAATAAACATGTTGATGTAAACTAGTAATGGAGTTGCGGTAGGACCCCACTAAATCATTTAATTTGAACCCCTCAGTAACGTGAACAAGATCTGATTTCCCTTGACTCCATTTTTCAGTAATTTACTACCAGCTAACTCGAAACCCCACAAACTCTACCATTTTTGGTTTCCTTGAGAGTCCAAATTAGCGACCTGTACTAAGGACAAAGGTTAGCAACTTTCTGGGGGTAATCAAAGGGGATTATAGTCAAATTAAAATATCCAGATTGCAAGACATCCACTCTTACCAATACACCCACTCTTACCAATACAAGGTTTTCTCATCAGAATATTGCATGCATTTACTTAATTTTGTTGTAAAAAAAAAAAAAAAACTTTTACCACCTATGAATCCCACCAACTCACTTGACTCTTTTTTATATTCTGACAGTAAACAGTGAAATCCAGGACTTCCAGCTAAAATTTCAAGACCTTACAGAAGACCTGAAATCATTGCAGGGTTTGGTTGTGCTTAAAAACCAGCATTTAGCTGAGGAAGAGCTTGACCTTAGGTGGTTTGGTATCCGAGGAGTTGTTTCATTAAAAAAGAGACAAGAGCTATCAGCAAGAGCTGAACATCTTTGCCAGAAAAAGGTTGACTTTTATGTATTAAACCTCTTGTAATATATTTTCATATTATGGCAGGATCCAAATGCACCTATCAATTCATAGCTCAAAACATACCTCCGTTCCCTGGGCAACTTGCATCTGCGCCCAGGGAATGGGGAATTTGAACCTTTGCTGGCTGGGGTAAGGACCAGAAGTGTCAAGCCTTTCCGGGGGAATAGAAATGATACATCTTAAACTATGGAAAGTGTGTAAAGGCAAATGATTCACTTTTGCAAGCAAATGGCCCACAAGAAAGGTCAACAAGGTTTGGGTGTTAAAGCTTGGTCAATGTGTTTAAAGTCATGGTCACTGAGTTTCTGTTTTACAAAAACATTGACCATCAAATCCAGCACAAGGGTGGGGTATTTGAGCATATTTTCTTTTGTGTCAAGATAGGACTTTAAACAAACCAATCTTCAATAGTTCAAATAGGGGATGCTGAAGCTTCAGACTGTTAAGTTTAAAACGTAAACGGAAAACAAGATTATTGAACATCAAATAGTGAATTCACTTCCGGCCATGTCAGCATAACTGAAGAAGAACGAAACATCATCCTTCACATGAAAAAATCCCTCCTCTATAGTGAAGGTGAACCATGGGAAAGAAAACATCAGCTGACCTCTTCGATGTGACTATGGGAAGCTACAACGGTGCAGAGTCATGCGAGCTCGTTGGCTCCTCTCTCTTGTACACCATCAAGGAGAAACATGGCCACAACTTTGGCTTATGCAGAGATGACGGCCCTGGAGTGATCCAGAAATCACCCCGAAAAGCAGAGATAATTAAGAAAGATCTCTGTAGAATTTTTGAGAGGCATGGCCTTAAAATAAGAATCGAAGCCAACAAGAAAGTCGTAAACTTCCTCGATTTCACTCTCAATCTTAACAATGGTAAATACATGCCCTACAACAAGCCTAACAACAACCCACTTTATATCAACAAGAAATCCAACCACCCACTGACCATAATTGACAACATTCCACTATCTATAAATAAACATTTGTCAGAGATTTTGTACAATGAAGAATCCTTCTACAAGGCAGTGCCGCTCTGTCAGAATGCCCTCAACAACAGTGGATGCAAACATAAACTTACATTTTCACCCCAAACCTCTACTCAACCTCCAAAATCGAATCGAAGGAGAGAAATAATTTGGTACAATCCACTGTATATTAGAAATGTAGAAACCAACATTGGATGTGTATTTCTAAGGATACTCAATGAGGAATTCCCCAAGGACAATGTGTTACATAAGATCTTCAACTGCAACACAGTAAAGATCAGCTATAGTTGTATGCCCAACCTCAGCAAACCACCAACAGCCACAACAAATCGGTCTTAAACAATAACGCAAAAGCATGCAACTGTAGAAACCCAGCTGAGTGTCCCATGGGTAGAAACTGCCTCAAGGAATCGGTTGTTTATCAAGTGAACGTAACAACCGAAGACAATAATCCCACCAAGACCTATATGGGCCTGACAGAAAACTCCTTCAAGATAAGATATGCCAACCACAAAGCTTCATTCAACCACTCTAACAAAAGACACAGCACTGAACTAAGTAAACATGTCTGGAACCTAAAAGACAAGAACAAGACTACACGATTTCCTGGAAGATTCTAAAGCAGGCCGCTCCATACAGCCCTGTCTCAAATCGCTGTAACTTGTGTCTCTGGGAGAAGTACTATATAATTTGCAAACCTGATTTAGCCTCTCTTAACAAATGAAATGAACCGTTAACCTCATGTAGATGTGCTAAAAAATTCCTCCTGAAAAATTTCAACACCTACCCTGGCATGCAATAGTGTCCGCTTTTATTTATTTCTAGCCCTTACCTGTAATGTACGCACGTCTGTGTTTATTCATTGTCACGCTTTAAGTGTCTGTGTTCATTTATTTATATATTTATTTGCTTATTTATTTCTAGCCCTTACCTTTATTGTGCGCGCGTAAGGCATGTATGTAAGGCGCGTATGGTAGGTATTGCGTTATTTCAAATCGGTGAATGTTATTTCAAATCAGTGTAACGTAAGTTCGCATTTGGCAGTTTTATCCGACGAGTGCTACACAAGCTGTGTAGTGCGAAACTAAATAGTAATAAATGCCAAGCCAAATCTTCAGTTGACCACTCCGTTCTCAATTATATAGATATTTAACAATTATTCCACGGGCGCGCGTTGGATATGAGATGATAGATAGCCAATGAGGCGCGTAGCGCCGAGTTGGCTATAATCATCTCATCCAACAAGCGTGAGTGGAATAATTGTTTTATTAAAAACTACCCCAAGAAATTATTATTTTGTAAGAAAAAACTGGATTTTTTAGCTCCCTTTTGGTTTTAAGCTGACGTGTACGCTTGCCATATTTGTAGATTATGGTATATTGGCTCATATACCATAATGGCTAAGCCAATAAAAAGTCTTGAATTACATTATCCAATGATCCAGTTTTTAATAAATATGTATATATATATATTATATATAATTGATATATTTATAAATAATTATATATAATTGTTATATTTATATATAATTATATATATATAAAAGTAGAAATGTGATGGTCAAGAGGCCAACTCCAATGTAGCTTTTTTGGTTTATTAGCTCGACGTTTCGGCTGTCTCAGTCTTTTTCAGGAGCATACTCATCAGTCATACTCATGCTCATCCTGAGGAAGACCAAGACGGTCGAAACGTCGAGCTAATAAACCAACAAAGCTACATTGGAGTTGGCCTCTTGACCATCACTTTTCTGCTTTTATTTACGTTATTTCGAGAGCCCACGATCGCTTCAGTGATCCTCTAAGCAGTGCGTTTGAAACTGATCAGCATTGTTTGTGGGACCCCTTACAAGTTTCTACTTATATATATATATATATTGACATCCCCCCTAGTCAGCAGTATGGTTTATCTCTTGGACCTTTCAGATTGTGGCATCAGGGCAAATTGCTTGCATCAGTTGGATTGAGGCTTCTTTCAACAATTCATCAATGTGAAAATTCTGTTTAGTTTAGTTCAGTGGAAAGTACTCAGGCTCAAAATCTGAACTTTTCTTTCTAATGTTTCATACTGCTGTGTTGTGCAGTAGAAGGAAAATTATTTGAAGTTTACAACCAGTCTAAAAAAAGATATTTATCTTGTTTCATGTGGCTGCACAAAAGTTATTTATGCCTTTTTGTTAGTGCAAGACAACTACTAATGCAGTTGCTCATATGACCCTTTTTTTCCTCTCTTCAAAGCAACCTAATTACTTGAAAATAAAGCTCTAGGTTATATTTCAACAGAAAGAGGCAGAAAGAGGAATCAGCAATGAAAAGTAAGACTTTTACTTTGATTACCAAGGAGTACAAAATTATTATAACAGGGTTTGTACCAGTCCTGGAAAGCCTGGAAAGTCCTGGAATTTTTCTGGGATTGGAAAGTCCTGGAAATCTGCTTACTAAACTCAAGCAATAGCATTTTCAGAATTATGATATGTAGACTGTCAGGAGAATTGAATCTTGGAACCTGGAAAATTCAATCAAAGTCCTGGAAAAGTCCCCAAAAAAAGGGATGAACCCTGTTACTAGTTTTACTAAGAAACAGTTAGCCCAATGGATAGTTAGCCCAATGGATAGTTAGCCCAATGGATAGTGCACTGGACTGTTGTGTGGGAGGTCGAGGGTTCGAGCCCCGGCTGGACCAACACTCGAGGTCTTAAAATAATAGAGAAGAAGAAGAAGAAGAAGAAGAAGAAGAAGAATTTGCTACCTTTCTATAACATCTAGAAATGGTTAGATATTCTAGTCTTCTCGGATAGGGACGAATAAATGGAGGTCCCGCCTCCTGCAGGGTTGGGGGTAGGAGACGTTAATTTCCCACGCATGAGATTACTGTGTGATGGATGTCCTCCCTGGGGTAGGATGGTGGGTACAAAGGAGTTAGGTGTCAATTGGGACGATAGTCCTGTTCCTTTCTCCTGCCACTCCCGTGGCGAATGGATTAAACTTAAACTTAAAACTAGTAATAAAAGTGAATGAGATATTCTTTTAGTGTAGGTGGAGAAGTAAAACTAGACCCTATTTTCTTGAGTGCGAGTTAAGATATCAAAAAGTGTATTAGAACAAGACTAACTATTATAAAAAGACTGAGACACACTGGAGAGATTCAAACAAAAATATGCTGTCAGATGTGTTAAGTGAGATTAGGACATCAATGACCAGTACTTTACCGCACTAGAAAGCCTGTCTGTGGCATGCCTGGAGTGATACCACCTCAAACTCTGAAGATCTCTGGAAAACTCTATTACTGGTACATAATGAAGGCTCACATTTAACTTGATTTTGTAAGAAATAGGGGAAGCTGTAGAAATTAATTGGGAAAAATGCTGTTTACCCTACATCAATATTAGTTGTTGACATTTTACTACTTTTGTTTTTTGGTGGGACTTTTTAAGTGTCATTTTGTTGAAGGCTGATGATTTAGGGAAAATGTGGTAAGGTTTCTGTGAGAGCAAGGTTATCTCAGGCTAGCTGGAAAGATCATGGAAGTAAACTGGATTGTTGTAATTTGAAATGAATATAACTTTTTTTTCTGTTACTGGCCTATGTAGAAAACAATTTTCAAGAGATGTCACCCAGTTCATTTCCTTACTTGAGTCAGATGAGAGAGCAGAGGAAAACCAATTGTTAGAAGCCACCATGCAGATGGAGGAACTCAAATGCCAACAAGAGAGATTGAAACAAGGTTCATGAGATTTAAAAGAGGGTTTTAACTTCTATTGAGAGGGAGAATGCTCTTGAAAAGTGCATGGCTTTCCAAAACAACTTTAAAGTTCTATTAACTTAACAATAAAAGGCAGTAAGGTATTTATTGCATAGTACACTGTATTCATCTGTTCCTGCCACTAGAGATGCCATCCTTTGCAACTCTTTCATGCTCCAAGTGCTTGTATGAGTTACAGTATTAGGAATATGACCACTTGTAAAGGAAGGCCCAACCTGTGAAAAGATGTCATTACACAGATGAAAGTATCGTCTGTCATGACCATTCATAGTTCCGACCTGTCAATCAGCAATGCGGAATCAACCAATCAGAAGGAAGCGTGCGGCATGCTGCCATCTTGTCCCACAACTTTTTTGAAAACATGGAGGCGCGAACGGCGGAGTGTCCAGCCCTTCAGACAATTTGGCGAAAATTCCAGACCAGATTTTGGTTTCCTTTCTTCCAGATCATTCTGATCTTTCACAGAAGGTTTTGGAAAAGGGTTTGAACTATTTTATTCAAGGATTTGTTCATGATATTAAGATTTGCCACGCTCCAAACACTGGAGCTAGTGCACCTTCTGGTACAAGAGTTGATGCGAAATGCTGGCGATCAATGAAAAAACACGAAGATCCGCACAAACTGCATCTAGAAATCAACGACAACAAGATATCAGAAGCCGTGTGTACTTGCAAAGTTGGGTAGGTTAAGGTTTTTTCGTTTTTTTAATTTTAATTTTGATAATAAAGCACAACATTATTTTCAAACAACAAACATATGAAATACATATATATGAACTGCGGTTATGAAGCGTATATGTGCACGATCCTTCGCAGTAAAGCACTATTTAAGCAATAGTGAAAATCAGACCTGAAAAAAATTCAGGCCTGTACGGGATTCGAACCACTGACCTCTGCGATACTAGTGCAGCGCTCTACCAATTGAGCTAACAAGCCAACTGGGAGCAGGCCATCAAATTAATTCGACATAAACCCGTAGATGATAAATCAAACAACAAACATATGAAATACATATATATGAACTGCGGTTATGAAGCGTATATGTGCACGATCCTTCGCAGTAAAGCACTATTTAAGCAATAGTGAAAATCAGACCTGAAAAAAATTCAGGCCTGTACGGGATTCGAACCACTGACCTCTGCGATACTAGTGCAGCGCTCTACCAATTGAGCTAACAAGCCAACTGGGAGGAGGCCATTGAATTAATTCGACATAAACCCGTAAATGATAAATCAAACAACAAACATATGAAATACATATATATGAACTGCGGTTATGAAGCGTATATGTGCACGATCCTTCGCAGTAAAGCACTATTTAAGCAATAGTGAAAATCAGACCTGAAAAAAATTCAGGCCTGTACGGGATTCGAACCACTGACCTCTGCGATACTAGTGCAGCGCTCTACCAATTGAGCTAACAAGCCAACTGGGAGCAGGCCATCAAATTAATTCGACATAAACCCGTAGATGATAAATCAAACAACAAACATATGAAATACATATATATGAACTGCGGTTATGAAACGTATATGTGCACGATCCTTCGCAGTAAAGCACTATTTAAGCAATAGTGAAAATCAGACCTGAAAAAAATTCAGGCCTGTACGGGATTCGAACCACTGACCTCTGCGATACTAGTGCAGCGCTCTACCAATTGAGCTAACAAGCCAACTGGGAGCAGGCCATCAAATTAATTCGACATAAACCCGTAGATGATAAATCAAACAACAAACATATGAAATACATATATATGAACTGCGGTTATGAA